GAGGTAGAAATTAGTGTCCGGGAGCCAATTGGGTCAATACGGAACAATTTCGGGCTCAAATTTGCAAGGAATCGCGATTGGAGGCGAATTGGGCTTAGGATTCGGGTCCTGGGCGTCCAAAGTTGGACGCCCGTGGTAGTTGGACGCCTAAGCAAGGATGGATGACACGGCTTTGCCACGCGGCGTACGCGGATTGGGCTGAACACGTAATAAGTGCGCGGGCGTCCAAAGTTGGACGCCCGTACTCTCTGCCCTATACTGCGGGTCCTCACTCATTCTACACCAACTCTCAACCCTTTTTCGGGTTTCTTCTTCCTTTTGCTTCAAATTTCGTGTATATTAGTTTAAATATTAGTTTTGAAGTATTTTCTCGAGAAATTCTACTCCCGATCTGTTCTGTTCCGCTTTTACGGAAGTTGTAAGTTTTCTTTATTTAATAAAATGCTGTTTTAATTTTTGTTTGCATAGTATGAGTTAGGGTCCGGATCTCTGGGTCCGGACTAGTTTGGTTGTTTATTTTTATGTTAAATTAATGTTGGAATGGTTAATCTATTGTTCTTGCCTTATTTGGTTAATTAAACTCGAAAGATTTAATTGGCCATTTATAGAGAAAATATTGTATGCCAAGAGGCTATGATGTTCAAGTGCAACGGATTAAATACAAATCTAGAAATGGATGAGTAGTAATAGAAATATTATTATTCCAACTGTTAATTTGATATGATAAAGTAGATTCAAATGATGTCCTTACCCTAGGTCCAGATCTACACTTATACTATGTAAAATTAATTTATTATTTTTTACTCTGCTCCTTTTTATTCGTTCCGAGAAGACTTTCATAAACCAATCCTAATCTTCGCCTAATTAGAGTAATTAAACTAATTCCCTTCGTCCACTCCTCGAGAGATACGACACTCGGAGAGAAAACTAATCCTTTATTGGGGAGGTTTACTACCCGAAAAACTACGACTGTCAGCGACCCAGAGCAGAGCCGGCGGAGGAAGTAGAAGAAGTCGCCTTGGACCTAGCCAAGCCAGAGCAAAAGGTGAAGATAGGTAAGACCCTACCATTTAGGTTGAAGGAGCATCTAATGGGCGTCCTTCGTTCATTCAGAGTGTTAATTGCCTTGGGTCCATAGGATATGCCTGGGTCGATCCACGAATCATTTGCCACAAATTGGCAGTGGATCCGACCCACAGGCCGGTCAAACAGAAGAAGCGTTTCCTTTCCTTAGAGAGGAGAGACTTTGTCACTAAGCAAGTGACAACCCTGCAGTACATCAGGCACATCCGGGAAGTCCGCTACCCGGAATGGTTGGCGAATGTAGTCCTCGCACCCAAAGGGAACACCTGGCGGATGTGCGTCGATTACACTGACTTGAACAAAGCTTGCCCGATGGACCCTTTTCCTCTCCCCAACATTCATTAATTGGTGGATGAGACGGCAGGGTGCGAGTTAATGAGTTTCATGGATGCATTCAATGGATATCACCATATCAAAATGGCTATAGCAGATGAAGAAAAGACTGCCTTCATCACCCCCAATGGGATATACTATTACAAGGTAATGCCCTTAGGTCTAAAGAACGCTGGCGCGACCTGTGCACGAATGGTCAACAAACTGTCTGCACCAGTGTTGGGGGTGCATGGAAGCATATGTGGACGATATGATCGTCAAATCGAAGCAGATAAAGTCCCATGCCCAAGATCTGGAAAGGGTGTTCAAAATCATGAGCAAGTTCCAGCTCCGTCTCAACCCAAAGAAGTGCACATTTGGGGTTTAGGGAGGCAAGTTTTTAGGGCACATGGTCAGTTGAAGGGGGATCAGGCCCAATCCAGAGAAGGTGAAGGCGATTTTGGAGATGGAGCCTCCACGGAACGTGAAGGAGGTCCAACAACTCACATGGAGGATCGCTGCTCTCAGTCGCTTCTTATCGAAAATAGCAGATCGAGCGGCACCCTTCTTCCAGACCATAAAGAAGAACAGAGGCTTTGTTTGGACCGAAGAATGTCAGAGGTCCTTTGAAGGGTTGAAGGCGTACCTCCTCTCACCGCTAGTGCTTTCGAAGCCAAAGCCCGAAGACACTTTGTTCTTGTACTTAGGAAACTCTCCTCGAGCTGTGAGCTCAGTACTTGTGAGAGAGGATGAAGGTACGCAGCGCCCTGTGTATTATGTGGCCCGGGTATTGCGAGAGGCAGAGCTGAGATATACGAATATGGAAAAGACTATCATTGCGGTGGTGTGTACAGTGAAGAAGCTCACCCCCTACTTTCAAGCCCACCCGGTCCACATGTTATCCCAAATTCCGATTGGAACCCTCCTTCGGAGTCCGAACGCTCCGTCGCGTGTTATCAAATGGGGAGTATACCTGGGTTCTTTCCAAATAGAATTTAAGCCGTGACCAGCGATCAAGGGGCAGGCCTTGGCGGACTTTGTTGTAGAGTGCACCGCAAGGGAAGTAGAGTCCAACGGAGAAGAGCCCGAGGGAAACTAGAGGACCATATACACCGATGGCTCGTCCGCGACCGATGCTTCGGGGGGAGGCGTCGTGGCAATATCACTAGAGGGATTCAAGGCATACTACTCCGTAAGATTCCGGTTTAAGGTCTCAAACAATGAGGCTGAGTACAAGGCGCTGCTCTACGGTTTGAGGCTAGCAGCATCATTGAAGGCCGAGCGGATCCAGGTCAGGTGTGATTCCAAATTGATAGTGGGCCATGTCACAGGAGAATTTGAAGCCAAGGATGAGAGGATGAAGAAATATAGAGACACCGCGTTGGAGTTGCTTAAGGCATTCGGGGCGTACCGGATAGAGCAGGTCCCTCGAGAAGAAAATGCTAAGGCAGACATCCTATCGAAGCTTGGTTCTAATTCCCCAGACCATATCAAGGCGATGACCCAAGAAGAAGAGTTGCTCGAGCCAAGCATCAGTCCTGGACAAATTTTGGTTATTACGCTCAACGAGCCGGACTGGATAGACGAGTTAACTATGTACATCCTTGACGGGTTGCTACCAACAGATCGGATCACAGCCAAAGTCGTCAAGCGACGCGCACCTAGCCACACACTAGAGTGTGTTAGGCTATACAAGCGATCGTACAATGGTACACTGTTAAGGTGTTTAAGGAGAGACGAAGCACAGAAGTTGATGGAGGAAATCCATGAGGGGATATGCTCAGCGCACCAAGGAGCCTTTACAATGTCCAGAAAGATAACCTTGTAGGGGTATTTCTTGCCTACACTCATTAGGGATTGCGCAGAGTACGTGCGTAAGTGTAAGGTCTGCCAGGAGTTTCAAAAGGTACCTAGCAACAAATTACACCCTTATCAGCACGACAATTCCCTTTGCTCGATGGGGTATTGATATAGTCGGCATCCTGCCTAGAGGAGCAGGAAATAACATGTACTTGGTGGTCGCGATCGACTACTTTACTAAATGGGTTGACGCAGCCCAGTACCGACCATCACCGAAGAGCAGATGAGGAAATTTGTGTCCAAACAAATTTTGTGCCGTTTTGGGGTGCCCCAGCAGATCATCACTGATAATGGGACCCAGTTCGAGGCTAAGGGGTTCAATGAGTTTCTATAGAGTTGGGGCATAAAACATAGCTACGCTGTGGTCGGGTACCCCCAGATCAATGGGCAGGTCGAGAATACTAACCGCACCATTGTGGATGGCCTGAAGAAGAAGATAATGGAGTGCAAAAGTTCCTGTTGGAAAAGTTGCCCTACATCTTATGGACCTATAAGACCACCCCAAGGAAAGCTACGGGTGAAATTCCGTTCGCGCTCACGTATGGGTTCGAGGCGAGGGCTCCAGCTGAGACCTCGTTGCTAAGCTATAGAGTGGAAACGTTTGATGCCCAGGAGAACGAAGAAAACCTAAGTGCAGAGTTACATCTTATAGATGAACGAAGAGAAAGGGCATATATACGAGCACAGAACTACCGTCGGCAAGTTAAGTCGTACCATGATCAAAGGGTGCGACCAAGGCAGTTCAGAACGGGCGACGGGGTCCTAAGAAAAAGGGAGGTCAGTCGGCCGACCGATAGGGGAAGTTTGCCAAGAGTTTTGAGGGGCCATACATCATAAAGGAAATGTTGGCCGATGGAACCTTTAAACGACAAACACCAGCGGGAGGCGACATCCCGCGGGTATGGAACGCTGCCAACCTCATCAAATTTTATCAGTAGATTGTACTCCTGCTATGTTTCTCCTTTGAGTTTAATAAAATCAACATTTTTTCACTTCTCTTCTTGAATTTCATTGTTCACAAAAAAAAGGAGCGACCAAAGAGATCGCTAATAGGAGCTACATGGTGATTTGTACTAAGGTACCCATCGAGGGATGAGGTACTGAACCCAAGTAATAACCAATTCTAGAGGCTATCAGAGGGTGCTTGATCTACGGTCACTAAGGAACCCAGTAGGACAACACGCCTAGTAGACAAGGGCAACGCCGTGGCGAAAAAGCCTTGGAAACGGCTAAGTCCAGAATATGAGATCCAATGGTTGCATGAGCGACCAGGGGACTTTTGAAAAACATGGCGACGCCGGGGAAAGCGAAAAAGCCCCGGCTAAGCCAAGGGAAGCAAGGGGGTTTTTCCAACTAAAGGTTGAGGAACCTCAATGCTTGAAATAAGGTGCAAAAGACAACATGAAAAGAAGATGGGACTTGTAAGTAAACAGGTAACATCAAAGTACATTCATGGAAATATCTATTACACATCAAGAGTCATCTTTTGCATCTATATCCAATACAATTGAGAACAACTTCCATACATTCTACACACATTGAAGACGGAAAATTCTTCCATGCATCTTACATACGTTCAAAAGGAAAATCCAAAATCAGCGAGATAAATATAGGGGAAAGGGCAAATTGAAGGGTAGTTCTGCAGCTGGACAAGCCGACAGAACCCCGATCACCAGCCGTTATGAGCGACCACCTTTCTTCTCCAACATGGAACAGAGATGGTCACCCCCTAGCTGCAGTAAAAACCCCTGTCCTTCTCCTGCGAGGGAAGGAGGGGAGGCGACTCACTTTTCTGTGAGCCCCAATCGGCATCACCTAGATGAGTTAAGCTAACTTAAAGGAAAGAGTATAGTAACAAAGTGCAAAAAAAGTAAAGGCACGTGATGAATAAAGCAAAACATCAAACATGGGAGTATTGTATCAAAGCACCAAGGCATTTCAAAAATCATAAGTCTTACAAGTTTAAAGGTAAAAAAGACAAGGGGAAGGGAGGTAAATCAGATGCCCGAGCTGGCGCTTCCGCCCGCCTTGGACGTCACTAGGTTGGCCCCAGGGTCTTGGTTGCCTTGCCCACCTTGGTCGCCCAGCACAGCTTCTTCTTCTTCCTCGTCAGAGGCACTCGAGCTCCCCTTGTCCAAGTAAGGACTGGGGTCGAACTCAGCCAAGGCACGGCAAGGAGGAGGAAAACCAAGGTTGGGGAAGGAGAATCCTTTGGGGAGCTGGGCTAGCTTGTTGCGAAAAACTTGATGGGCACGAAAGAGTCCACAGTTGAAGGACGTCTTTCCCTCCTTGACCATCCATTGGACCCCAGGCCCAGTTTTTAGCCATTTGGCTACCAGCTTGTCCATCCGCTCCATAGCAACCGCAGCAAAATCAGGAGAAGATTTGAATGACTCGATCGCCTCCTCCACGCAACGAACCTAGTCGCTCTTCTCCGCCTCCAGCTGCTGAATCAGATCGGTTTTCTCCCCCTCCAGCTCAGCTATGCGGCAGAAACGGACCCCTTTCAGAAGACAAGGAGGTGTTCACTGTCTCAAGGGCGGTAGAGCGACCCTTCTCCTCCTCTAGCTCTCTTGCGAGGCGGGCGACCTCCTCCTGCAGCTCTCTCTGCTTATCTTCAGCTGCCTTCCTTGCCTCATCCATAGCTGCTTGGCGGTCCTGCCTCCGGCCAATGAGCTCAATCATCCCCAGCGTAGCCTGTACCAAAACATAAAGGTTAGAGATGTAAGATGGAGGGGTGGCGAAAAGGGGGTTAAGGCAAATACCTGGCTAAGCTTCAAAAGAACCATGTTGTTGAGGTAATCCTTAGAACCGGCCGAGATGCAAGCTCGATCCTGAGCGGGCAAGGTGACCAAGGTCTCCAGTTGCACGTCCCCTAGGCCTGGGGATGAGGGACGAATGCTGAACCTCGTCGAGCGACCCTGGGTCGCCACCTTGTAGCTCACTACTAGTGGGGAGTGAGGTCGCTCCGAGAAGGCTCTCTAGGACGACCCAGCTAGGTCGCCACCCAGCATCAAGGAGCGCGGCGGGGAGTTGATCGCCATCGTCCCCATTTCTAGGGCTGCATCATCCTAGTCCTCCACCTGGATCACGACTTGCTCATGAGGAGGACTATCTTCGCCACGAGAGGAAGAGCGCCTGCTTCTGCTTTGCTTGGTCGCGTCCCTCTTCCTCTTCCTCCTTCCAACGAAGTGACCGAGCAAAAAATCACTATCCATTTCCTCTTCTAATCCTGGTGGCTCAACTAAAAACAAATGGAACAGTTAATCCCAGAGGGAAATAAACTTGAAATCCCTGACAAAGAGGGTAGGAAATTAACAAAAGGGCCACAGTAAAAGCCTCCCCCAGGAGCATCCCTTGGCAGGTCGGGCTGATGTCCCCCTGGAACATCCCTTAGCAGGTCGGGTTGGTGGCGAAGCTCGTCTTGGACAAACTCAAACCCCAGCACTGCTAGAGATTCCTCAGTCACCACATTCTTAATCTCGACGGCCCCTTGGCCGTAGAGTTGCCGGGTGATGGACATGAGGGTGGCGTCGGGTGGGGGAAATGGGACGCGACGGAAGGATGGGAGCCTTTAACCCGTGAAAGGAGATTCAGGCCCCGTTGAGACAAAGACAAAGAAGGGCTTCCAGTCCTTGGTCGACCCCTTCTTGTCGCTGGTAAAGAGCTTACTGGACATTTGGGACAGGCTGGCATAGGACGCCCAATCCTTATGGCCTTTGGTCAGTTTGAAGGTAAACAGAAAAAGGTCAAGGGTTGGCTTCACCCCTACCTCCTTGCATCTGACCAGATAACAGGCAATATACCGGTGAGAATTTGGGACTAGTTGGCAAGGAAGGGGGTCCAACTCGTTGAGGAATTCAATCAACAACGAGTGGAGAGAGAATCGCAACCCCTTCTTCAAAGACGCCAGATGAACTGTGAAGAATCCTGAGGGAGCGTCCAGGGCGGTCTGGGTGCTAGTGGGCCTTAGGACCTCAATAGAGGGTCCGACCATGCTGGTGGCATCGGCGAACCCCCGGTCAGTGATTTGGCAATGGCACAACGCCATGATGTTCTCATCCAGCTTAACCCTCGAGCCCCCCGTGCTGGGGTCAAGGGAGGGAATTGCTTTCTCAACTGGCGCTGCTTTTGGCCGGGCGTGGCCGCCGACGATGGCTGTGAAGATTGAGTCTGAACTAGGGCAGGGCTAGAGGCCGATTGATCGGCTTGGCGAGAATTGGACGAAGCGGAAGCTAATCAGAATCAGAGATAATCATGGTGGCGAAAGAGGGAACTGACCTCAAGTGGAAGAAAAACAGGTCGGGTAACGGCGGAAGGACAAACGAAGAGCAGTTGAGAAGGCAAATGGGGAAAATTGGCATTCAGCGGCAGTTTTAACAGGCAGTAGGAAGGCGAAGCAGCATGCCATGATTACGTTTTAGTGGAGATCGTGCCAAACGTCACGTAAAACCCAAGGAACGGCCCAAATCCGTGCTGGAGCACCCACGTGGACCTTGTAAACTCCCCATCCCTCAACGTGGCCCGTTTGAGGAATGAGGAGTTGGGGGGCTTGTGATGGGCCGATATCCAACGGGCGGCCCAGATTAATCATCCGCTAGGCTCTGGGTCAAGTGCGCGATAAAAGCTTGGACCTGGGCCGGCCCATAACCCGAGGCCCGGATCACTCCAACCCAAAATACAGCTGGCAGAGCCAATTCGCAAGAGGAGACTCAGCTGAGTGGTGAAGAAGAAGCCGGAAAAAGTGGATTGCGCCATCGACGGGATGGACTCCCTTTGATTATGAATTACCTTAACTGTCTAGAATCCATGTATAAATAAAGAAGACCCGAGATGGGAAAAACTCAAGCTAAATCAAGCTAATAATACACACATAATTTTGGGGTTCTTGTTCTTATTTTATTTCTTGTGATCCATTCTTCTGAATCGGATCATTTGGTAGATTTATTGTCCATCACAATCAAATTCATGATATTCAAAAGTGCTTTAACTTCGTGATGGACCTAAGGTGCACACTACGTTTTGGTGGACCTTAGAAACATTTTTTTGTTACTTTAATTTTTTTTATGTTCAAGTCATCCTTACAAAAAATTTTATTTTAAAAAATGGTTCTTAAATGTAATTAAGACTTCAAATATGTTGAAATAACATATTTATTTTTACTTAGCATTTGGTTTTATATATCTAATTCTCTCAAATTTCATCAACAAATTATTTCTTTATTCCCAAATTTTATTAGAATATATTTAAAGAGAGTTGGAAATTGGATATGTAATATGAAAAAGGACATAATTTAGAATATGAGAATTATATCTAGGATAATTATAAATACATGATTATAATGCTGAGTAAGAAATATATTCTCTATCTCAACTAATTAGGACTAATTATGTTAAAGGACTATTTTCAAAATTAAAAGAATTTATATATATGACTTAAACACAAAATAAAAGGGGTTAAAACATAACTAGGATATTATATTGGAATTAAAAATACGTCTATTTTACTTTTTAATATTTTTGCAATTTAATTGAATAATAAATATATTTACTTACCACCCCTATTTGTAAGTGTACTTATAAACGCACAGAGCTTTAGGCTACGTTTCGTTTGCCTAATCTGATCTGATTTTTGAAGCTCTGATCTTGTCCGATCTAATCTGATATGATTGAATCTAATAGAAATAGTACCAATAATTGTAATAATAATAATATAAATAATATTAATATTTGTAATAATAATAATATTAATACTAATAATAATAATAACAACAATAGTAATAATAATTATATTCATAATAATAGTAATAGTAATAATACTAATAGTAGTAATAATAATAACGATAATAAGAATAATTTTTTAGATCTGATAAGATTGGATATGATCTGATTTGGTTTGATCTAATTTGATTAAATTTGACATGGTCTGATCTGATTTGATTTTAATAAAAATAAATAACAAGTAGAAAAAATAAGTTATGCGAAAGCTAATCTAACATTTTTCCAAAGAGGAATTTACTTAAATAACACTAAAACATAATACTTTTCCCTAAATAGCACCATATGTGTTTTTCTTCCCATACTTTTAGTCATTATTCAAGCAAATATTTGCGATTACTGGATATTATAGACATTTTTAAGTATTATTTAGGGAATAAAACAGTACTATTTAGGAAAAATGAAATTTTAGTGCTATTTAGTGCACTCCCCCAAATTCAAATTTTACTCGGTAACTTCGAAGGGGAGGGGTATGAAGCTGGTGCGTACTGTCAACTAATGTATTCGACCTGTGTATATTTAACCATACCAAAAAAGACGACTGCGTTAATGCCGTAAGACGTGATTAATAATGGCTACAACCGTAGATCTAAACTCACGTGATTGTCTTTTACGTTTGCCGGCGGCGGAATCTTCTCGTACAGGAACCTGCCGCTTTGTTGAACAGTGGAGCCACCGACAATAGCTATGGATCGCGGCAGCAGCAGCGGCAACTTCAGATCGGCTTCCTTTTGCACAAGACGATCACGGCTGAAGTAGAACGTAGTGGACGGCGATGAGCTGTGTGGGACCCACCATTTCCCCAGCGGGCTGCCGTCGATAACAGCTGCAGGCAACGGAGAGCAAGGGTTGCCGACGTGGCTGTTGTATAACCTAGCGCCTGTGTCCCAAGACGGCGTTGCCGGAGGAGTGGAGCCCATGCGACCGGTGTAGTTCATCAGTCCGTAGAGGTCAAACCCACCGTTGACCTCCGCAGATTGGAGGGATGCGCGCTTAGCGTGCTGCCGTTCCCGCTTGTGAGCGTTCTGGTGGCCGCCAAGTGCCTGCGAAGTCGGGAAGTTCCGGCAGCAATAATGACACTCGAACTTCCGGCTTCCCTCTCGGATGAAGTTGTCGCACTCTTTAGGCTCAGACCCCGCTGTGGACTCCGACTCATTATCATCCCTTCCCCGGCAGAAATCTTTTCCGAAGAGCCGAATGCCCCTCTCTTTCATTAGGGGCGCCCACGATTGGATGAAGGGAAGCTGCGAGTAAGATTCGAGGTTCATGAAGTCCGTAGTCTCTCTTTCCTCATTCATCTCGGTTAACTGTGAGAGTTTGGTGGGTTGATATTTGAAGTTATGAGCTATGCCAGGAGATATATATACAAATGGGGAAGAATATATATATATATATATATATATATATATATATTGGTTCTGGTGAGAATGCAATCTTAGGAGAGAAATGAGAATGAATCTGGTGCTTTAAATTGTGAGATCTAAGGGTCAAGATTTCATCAAAATTAGATGCACCAAATTGGTGCGAAAATGCATCACGTCGAAATGCACCATAAACCTTCGAAAATGCATTATCTCAAAATCTGAGCGCAGGATGGAATCTGAGCCGCACGATGCATCAGATCCGACAGTTAGATTTTATTCTCATTTCTCTCCACAAGGTGCATTCTCACGGGAACCAGCCCCTATATATATATATATATATATATATATATATATATATATATATATATATATATATATATATATATAGAATGAAGGGATTTAGAGAGAGGGGCTACGCCGTCAATTCTAGGCGATTCTCTAACCCTAGATGGAATCGTCTCAAGGATTTTGTTCGTATTAATGGGTTTACCGATTATCAGGATGGGAAAGAATTAGGGATCGACCAGAACGTTGCCATGGGAAGAGAATCCAAAGATGGATTTAGGGGTGTGCATTATTTGGTCCGAACCCGGACCGACCCGAAACCCGACCAAAACCGGACCGGACCGGTCCGGACCGGTCCTTATTCGGTCCGGTCTTCGGTCCTCAAATTTTCCTTATTCGGGTTCCGGTCCGGTCCGGTCCGGTCCACCGGGTTTCGGTCCGGTCCGGTCCACCGGGTTTCGGTCTGGACCGGTGGACCGGTTACATTTTATTCTTTTTAAATACTTTTTTCTATATAGTATTATAATATTGTATTTTTTAAGGTTTTTTCTTATAACTAAAATTAATTTAACTTTAATACTAAAAGTTTTTTTAAATGTTTGGATTTTATTATTTAATATAATTTTTTAAATACATTTTTAATTCAAAATAAGATACCAATTACAATGATTTTTATATATTTTAAATATGAAAAGTGTGAAAAAGTAAACATTACCTTTATATTAGCAATCTAATGCATTTCAAATTTATATACCAATACTATTACTTAAATTTGTACTTTATCAATAATGAAACGATAATCCGCAAAAACAAACATTGTAAACAATCTCATGAACAAAAATAGTAAAAAATGTATCCGTTTGTCAAAATAAATCGAAAACTCAAAAAAAAAAAATATTACAAAAAAGAAAAAATGAACTAAGAAGAAGAATATTCTCGATGTAAAATAAAAATTACGAACAAATTTTATGTAATATGGATGGAAGATATATATTTTGTTTAAAGTTTTTTAAAAAATTCAAAAAAAATGTGTTTGACAATGTTTAGTGTATGTTACAATTAAAAATTAGTTGTAGTAATATTTTTATTCAATTGAATACTTTAAATTAAAAAAATAAAATCAAATTAAAAAAATTAAAAATAACGTTTATTTGGTCCGGTCCGGGTTTTACCGGTCCGGTTCCGGGCTGGTCCTTAGCTTAATCGGTCTGGTCCCCGGTCCACCAAATGCCCCTTATTCGGTCCCGGTCCGGTCTCGGTCCGGGTCGGTCTGGTCCGGGTTTGACCCGATGAACACCCCTAGATGGAACGACTCTCCCAAAATCTCAGGGCAAGTGAGTGAAAGTCATAATCAGGTTCATTCCTTCCGCGTACAATCCAAGGTTTATAATCTTTTTCACTCCTACTATAACCAGAACTTCTGTCTTACGGAAGTTGGGAGGAGGAATTATGACATTTGGTTTGATCTTCAAGGGTTGAAATGGATTCTTGAGCTATTCCCCAGATTAAACTAAAGAAACCATTGGGCTATCACTCGATTTGAAACACATCGAAAACTTTCGATTTCTTATGGGTCTAATAGGTGGGGGAATTTTATCAGAGTTCTTGAGTCTAGGCTAGAAGGGAACACCTCTATTTTTGTACCAGTTGATAGAGGAGGTTCGGACTGCTTCTTTAATGTTGTTGATGTCTTCATTGGTAAGACAAAGAACCCCAATATCGCAGAAAACCTCCCTGATGCTCAGAAGTTAATAGTGGTACATGAGGTTCATGCACGAGACATGGAAG